TGCGTACGGATGACAGCTGCGTATGAATTAATTTATTTTCTGGTGCTTTCACTTCCAGAGACAGTTGTAAGCACTGTGTAACTGCCTCGAGGGTGCTTGACCATTTTAACACAACGTGGTGCGATCATCCCCCTTGCGCGGAGCGAGGGTTCTCCACCCCGCACAACATGATCTACTCGAGCACCATTGTGGTTACCGCCAAAAATAAAGAGGTAAAAAAAAACAAACGGTAACCTGGTTGCCGAGTTCACGAAGTGAATTGGCTTGTTTTACAACGTCGTTGCCAAGCGACGAAAACCCAACCCCGATGGCAAACACCGAGGGGGTTGGCTTGTTTTACAACGTCGTTGCCAAGCGACTTAAACCCAACCCCGATGGCAAACACCAAGGGGGACGGGGGGGACGGGGGGTTGTGTAATGTGGTGTACAGCAGTAGCCCGCCCACCAACAACCTTCGCCCACATGAAGCTACTCTCAGGCCAAGCAATTAGGGCGGCGTATGATAGCACACATCCGGCTGCGGTTTCATTCGTAGCCAAAATATCAGACATCGCATCACCGGGGGGGGGGGGGNGGGGGGGGGGGTTCTTGTATTGTATCGTATACAGCAGCCGGCATCCCTTCCACCACAACCAACCACGCCCTCGGACTCTCCACTCGATCGGTGCCCCTCAGGACGACGACCTTAACGGGCACGTGGACTTCATCACCGCGGCCTCCAACCTCCGCGCCTCGAACTACGGGATACCCGCGGCGGACAGGCTGTCGACCAAGCGCATCGCGGGGAAGATCGTTCCTGCCATCGCCACCACCACGGCCGTCGTCTCCGGCCTCGCCTGCGTGGAACTCCTTAAGGTAACGGTGAAGCTTGACGCTCGTTCGGATGGTGTAAAGTTCGTCTTGCGTCGTCGTTGGGATGCCTTGTTTTTTGCCGTATTGTTCGGGGGACTAGCTCTATTTTGACAATTGGTTGTTGTATGCATCCCGTATATGACACAAGATAACACACCCCCTGGACCGATTTTCAAAGCTCGATTACTCCACGACGAAGAGGATGTATAATCGAAACGATACATTTTTGGAAAGCTCTCGACGAGACGGTTCCAACGCCGCCGTTTTCGGCGTCGTGACTCTTTCTGTTGTTGAGAAGTCGAGATTTGAAAATCGGTCCAGGGGGTGCGTTATCTTGTGTCATTTACGGTATGTGCACATGCCCCCCAGTGTTTGGGTTTTGCTGAGGGTTGTCGCGAATGTATTTGTCGTTGTTGTCTGTGCATTTTTTTCTAGACACTTGAAAGATTCCGAACTGCAACAAACGAATATGGACGTGCCGCCAACCCTACCCCCATCTCGTGTGAACCCACAGCTGATACAGGGAGCCCCGATCACAGACCACAAGAACGGTTTCGTCAATCTCGCCGCTCCCTTCGTGGCATTTTCGGAGCCCCTCGAGGCCGAGCCGATCGACGGGGCCTCTGGCGGCGGGGGGGAGGGGGGGTTCACGATCTGGGACAAGGTGGTGGTGGACGGGGCGGCCGACCTGACAGTCAGGGGGCTTGTGGAGTTCTTGAAGAGCGAACGCGGGTGAGAGGAGGGGAAGGGTAGGCTGCAGTGTAGATGCGAAATAGACGCGCGGTTTGGGGGGTGTATCCACTATGCAAAGTAGTCAGTGGGGCCCCCAAGATGTGGTTTTGCTGTTCTAGTCGGAGGAGGTATGTCCCCTGTACATCAAAGTGGTTTGCCACCGCGGACTTCTTTGGTGACATGTGGTATCCATTCCCTTTGACCTCGAACCTACACATAATCAAGACTTTTGGGGTTGTGACTGCGTTTGGGTCCAGGGGATAATCGGTCTAGGCTAACACCGCAGGTCGCCAAGGAGAGATATATCGTGTTTAATTGTCCGCGAGTTGTTTTGCGATTATGTTTTGCTTTCATTCTCAGCAGATGGTCAGATTTTGGTTTTTCTTTTTCTGTTCATCCTTGACAGCCACCGTTGAAACGTCTTTGATCTGTCTGTCTGTCTTTTTTTAATATGTCTGTCGCTCTCAAAGACATGACTCGATGGCAATCCTCCGGCCTTCCCTTGGTCCCCATGAAACTGAAGAGTTGGAAATGAACGCGTCGTGGTGTTGACGGCTGTTGATCCCATCCATGGTTATTGATTCCCTCCAAACGATGGCAATTTGTGGCTCCTTTCTCCAGCGCTGTTTGTTGCATGATTCCTCAACAACTACACTTGTTGATTCCTTCCATGGTTCCTTCCGACCATGTTTTTCGGGTAATTCCTCTCAACGATTGTCAAACAATCAACACAGCGCCGCCGAGGTGTCGATGATCTCGTACAAGAACGCCTTCCTGTACGCGAGCTTCATGCACGGCGACGTCGACGACGAAGGCGAAGGCGAAGAAGACGACCCCCACCCCGTCCTAGACACGCCTCTGTGGCAGCTCGCCGAAGCCCTAGACACCGACGGAGGCCAAGACTGGATGTCCCGTAACGTCGGCGTCAGCGCCGGCGGCGGCGGCGGCGACGTCGACGGTGGCGGCGACAAGGTCGTCGATCAAGCCGTCCCCGCGTCGCCGTTCGTGGGCGGAGACGCCGCCACCGCCGTTTTCGACGACGCGCGGGCTACGGTGGACGACGGCTCCGGTGGCCCCGGGTTTGCGGAGGCGTACGGAGATCAAGGGTATGGCGGGGGCTTGTACGGTGTCGTCGAAGGAACGGCGGCGGCGGCGGCGGCGGCGGGGGGTGTGGGGCAGGACGGAGATTGGCCGTACGGCGGTGGCGAGGGTGACGGGTTTGGGGTTCATGGCGGGGCCGGGGCCGGGGGGGGCGATGGAGATGTTGTCGGCAACGGGTGGCAGGGGGGGGGCTCGTACGGTCAGGGCTGGCAGGCACAGCAAGACGCCTGGGGAGGCGGGCAGCAACAGCAAGCGTCGTCGGGCACCTGGCAGGAAGGATATTCGACTCAGACTCAACAGCAGGAGGCCGGGGGTGTCGCTTCTTGGGGGAGTTCCACCGGGAGCGCGGCGTTCTGGGGGAGGGCTGGCAGGGAAGATGCGTTCTGGGGAGAGGAAGCGAAACAGTGGGCGGCTGCGGCAGAGACGGCGACGGCGACGGGGACAGAGGGACCGGCGTCGGCAGCCGGGGCGTCGGCGCCCGACGAAGGTGCCGATGCTCCGGCTGTGCCCGCTCGCGAGGAGGAGGAGGAGGAGGCGGACCCGCCGGTGTTTGACTGGTTCGAAGAAGAGTTTTGGGGAGCGGCGGCGGCGGCGGCGGCGGCGCAGGGGGAGCAAGGCGAAGAACACTCCAACCCCGCTGCTGGCGGCGGTGCTGCTGCTGCTGCTGATGGTGACTTCGGCGGCAGCAGCGGTGGAGGTTTTGGCGGGGACGGTTTCCGCGGCGCCTCTCCTGTGGCGGCGGGCTCTGGGTGGGCCGCTCCCGCTTCGGCAGCGGTGGGTGCGGAGGCGGCGGCGGCGGTGGCGGCGGCGGCGGGACGAGGGGTAACCGAGGGGGGCGGTGCTTCTGCTGCTGCTGCTGCTGCTGCTGCTAGACAGGGGGGCACGTCAACAACCACGACGACTAGGGCGGGAGAGGTGTCGGAACCCACAACGGGGGCAAGACGGCCGGAGTTGCTGGTCGAGGACGGCGATCAGGGGTGGGGGCGATGGCACGCGCAGGACGAAGAGGAGGAGGAGGAGGAGGAGGAGGAGGAGGAGGAGATGGAGAGCGACACCGGAGGTTGCCACAATAGCAACGACGCCGCTGTAACGGCCCTTGAGAGAGGAAGCGGTGGGGCGCGAGTCCGGCAACGACGACGTTCACGCTACCTCGACCTCCAAGTGTTCTGCGACGACGAGGACGGGGAGGAGCTGAGACTTCCACCCGTGCGGCTTGACATGCGGAGTTCCGCCCGCGGGAGCGGGGCTTCGCCTAGGCGTGAGAGAGAAGAAAGTGCGGAGGGAGCGGTGGCGGCGGAAGGTAGAGAAGGCCGGCGAGGTCTGGTAGGGAGGGTGTGGGGGGCGTTCTTTGGACCGTTGCAGGCCGGGTCGGGGGGTAGCAGTGTGGAGGGGGAGATGGCCAGGGATAGTGAGGAGGAGGAGGAGGAGGAGTGGTCTGATTGACAGCAGTAGTCGTCAGTGGAAGTCTTATGTAGGACCGTTTTGTTTGTGAACGTCTGTCGACGCCAGGCACGATAGACGAGGGGCATTTGGTTTTGCTGAGGGTACGGGAAACAAAAAATGCGCGTTTAGGTTGTCCTTTATGTGTTGTAACGACTATACCTATTTACACTTTACAGCTCCTGTATCCTGTACGAAACGTTTGAAATTGGCGCCAAGTTGTGAAATGTGGTTTCATAGCGTGGCTGTTTGTTTTTGTTTCTGTTGCCCATCTTGGGTGGTTGTGTTCCGTGGTGTTTCTCAGGCCTTTTCTGTCTCTCATGTTGTTGTGCTTTCGTCTGACGTAGGTGGAGTCTTGAATCACTCATGAGGAACACCATGCAGCGTTTCTGCACATAACCTACATCACACACCATTTCTTATATTTTACGATCAGGCCCCCTCACGCGCATGCATGCGCAGCCACCTGCAGTAAATGAAGTCTGTCAACAAATCAACAGCAAACACACCTAATGGCACGTTCGACGACAGACATAAAAAACAAGTCAAACCAACGACTACAAGCTACAACACGAAACGAGCAACCTGCGTGAGCGCTCACAACATACGACCGCACAAACACTGCCAACAAGCTAGTATACGTACCTCCTGAAGATAGGGAGGGGTAAATCGCTGGGTAGACAACCAACGGTAGCCCCACCTTCCTGCTGTATCGGGCCGTGCCATGTGCCACTACGGCTTCACCGCGTTTTTACGCGTGTCATACAAGTCGGCGAATCAAACACCCTCGCCATTGACAGCAAGTCCCTCCCCCCAGGGATGCGAGCTCGATGGTCTACCGACTACGGCGTGCTACTAAATGAGTACCCAAAATCAAAGGAAGAACGCTGTTGGCAGAACCTGCAAAACTTGCGACAACCTCCACCGGGAGCACAAGACATGCAGCAGCGTCCACCGCGCGAAGCGCTGTTGTGGTACAGCACGGGACGCCTGCAACGACGTACGACAACATCAAGGCGGGAGGAGGAGGAGGAGGAGGAGGAAGAGCAAAGGAAGGCATGTACCGACCGATGTACGAGCAACAATCACGGAATCGATCAATCGCGGGATGGAGGCTGTGTGCATGCACCCCCAGCAACGAACCGTCCAGAACAGGCCGGGCGAACTCGACCCTCATCAAGGAACAAGCTCTCTCTCTTGACTTGTGCACAACCCTTATCCAACCACTGGCTGGGTGTACCACAGCACACCAACCTACGGCGACACACGACCTCCCACGCCGACATGCAGCACGAATGCACTCGTGTAGGGATACGGATGACGATGAAACTACTTACTGACCGCCAACACCGGATCTCACACACAGACGACTGTAACAAGCAGTCACTTATGTTCGCATGCTGCCAGCTAGAGCTATGCATGCCCGACGAAAAAGCGACACGCCCTAGCCAACACACCAAACGACAACGACGATGCCCGAGGCATGCATGCAACACAAGAAGGTTCGTCTTGCTGGCAAATGCTCAGAAGCAAACAGAGGTCTGTCTTGATGGGGGAAGTGGGCAAGGTAGTTCGTGTCGCCTGAGAAAGAAACCAACTCTGAGCCCCGCTCCCCAGGTTCCCGTGAAAGCAAGCACCCAACACAGCAAGAGAAACAAAAACAAACAAAAAGTGAACTCCATACCGCTGTACATACATAACCGTGTGCGTGGCGATCACAACAAAAACACGCACACGCACTTTCGGGAGACAAAAATAAGCCCGCAAATAACACCGCGTTCACGAAGGACACAGCCCCCCCCCCCTAACCCTACCCTTCGCACCGCCGGCTCCTCCCCCTCGCCGCGTTTGGTCGGCCGCGCAATGCATGGAACGCAANCCACCACAAAATGCCTGCCGCCGCGAACGGATGAGCAAGGGCAACCGAAGACCGAGTGCAGACTACGAAAGCAATGAACGTCGCCATGCTGCCCCAACCCCCCACTGTCCACTGTTCTCCTGTTCGCACAGCACATCTTCAGCTCTCCCCCTCCAGCGGCCCAGCGTCTGGAGACCGCGGCCGTGCAAGGCTGCCTACCAAGCACGCCTCCCTCCTTCC